AACAAAAGCTTAGCACTCGAGTAAAGATTGTTACGTTACATTTGGGTCTTGTCTTTTTTTTACTTCAGTGAACTCGACCGACTCGAAACAACACAATCTGTAGTTTGATGATGAAAGCGGCGTAAAAACAATTTAACTCTTGTTTGACGTTCAGAATTAGACAACGTCGGAGATGACTACGCGATACGAAAACTCTGTCTCGCTCGTTGCCCCTTTTGTTATTTATCCCCTCGTGCCCAGCGTTAGAGATCTTTATTTGAAGGAAATTTATGGTCAGAATTCTACTAAAACAACTAGATTATTTGTTGTAGATTTCCATGAGGTGATCATAGTGGATTCAGCCTCTATCACCTGTGGGAAAAAATTAGCATCGCGCACTTCTATTTTCATGTAAGCTGCCTTACCGTTATGATTGTTTTCTGTCTGCGACATTCAACTTATTTTTATATCTTTTTGTTAAAAAACATAGTTAGTGTAGTGGTGAAAAATTGCTCTGCTATTTTCCGTTTTCTGTTCTCTGCGGGTTAAGGAGCATGATAGTGCGCATGTTTCTAGCTGTTAAAATTCTTACGCTCAACGTAATAGTAATTTTGTTTTGGGATGAAGAGTACAGTTTGGAGAAACTACGAATATAGTTGCGCTTGTTTCTCCTGCTTGTCGAAATGTCCAATATTCAACGTGGTATACCGAAGTTTTATTCGTTGTTTTTAACAATATTTTTATAGCAGATTTTATAAAGTAGGAGAATGACTACACGCGGTTGTTGAATTTTATTTGAATTAGTTCACTCACACCCACAACCAGAGTTGTTTATACTGTGTTGGAATGTTTCGGATGGCTAGCGCTTGCTTGGTTAGCCGAAGGCAACGAGAATCTCAAGAGGAGCACTTCTTCTTCTCTGTATATAGCTCACTTGAGCGCCAACTTTAACTTATCTCTGAACTACTAGCAAAATGAACTCCGTCTGTTAAATACCCCCTATCGATAGGCCTGTGTGGGCACACGGGATAACAACCGATCTTAAACGTTTGACATCCTATTGGAACACTGACCAAAACACTTTCACGCGACTCTCAGAAGAGGTCAAAAATAAAAGTCTAGACATTAACGTTTAGAGAGCAAGAAACCAAAACAGGATTTTCCTTGGAGATCCAGACCAAGGAAGTAGACCAAGGAAGTAGGGGGGAGGGGGCGGTTTTGTTTTGCTTCCCTGCCGGCTTTTCTTCCTTCTGTGATTTCTTCTTTTTTACCCAAAATAAGGGGAGGGGGGGNCGTTTTTTGATCTCTGCGGGTTAAGGAACACGCATGATAGCGCTCATGCATGTTTCTCGCTGTTCAGTAAAGTTGTTACGCTCAACGTAATAGTAACTTTGTTTCAGGATAAAGAGTAACGTTTGGAGAAACTGCGAATATAGTTGTGCTTGTTTCTCCTGCTTGTCGAAATGACCGATATTCAACATGGTATACCGAAGTTTTATTCGTTGTTTTTAACAGTATTTTTATGGCAGATTTTATAAAGTGGGAGAATGACTACACGCGCTGGTTGAATTTTATTTGAATTAGTTCACTCACACCCACAACCAGAGTTGTTTATACTGTGTTGGAATGTTTCGGATGGCTAGCGCTTGCTTGGTTAGCCGAAGGCAACGAGAATCTCAAGAGGAGCACTTCTTCTTCTCTGTATATAGCTCACTTGAGCGCCAACTTTAACTTATCTCTGAACTACTAGCAAAATGAACTCCGTCTGTTAAATACCCCCTATCGATAGGCCTGTGTGGGCACACGGGATAACAACCGATCTTAAACGTTTGACATCCTATTGGAACACTGACCAAAACACTTTCACGCGACTCTCAGAAGAGGTCAAAAATAAAAGTCTAGACATTAACGTTTAGAGAGCAAGAAACCAAAACAGGATTTTCCTTGGAGATCCAGACCAAGGAAGTAGACCAAGGAAGTAGGGGGGAGGGGGCGGTTTTGTTTTGCTTCCCTGCCGGCTTTTCTTCCTTCTGTGATTTCTTCTTTTTTACCCAAAATAAGGGAAGGGGGGGGGGTGGGTCCCCCGGGTCCCTCCCCTAGATCCGTCACTAACAACGATAAAAACGAAGGATCACGCACTGAAACAACTCGATTCACAACAACTGTTACTTCTTGAGTAAAGTTGTTGCTCAAAACATTGACCTGGTGCTGGTGTGTTCAAGAGCTGATACCATGGCAACCATGTCCCTGCCACTCCAAATATGGTTGTTTATGTTCATTATCCCCAGGATTAATTGCGTCAGGGTACATTGCCAGCACTAAAACATACAGTGGGTTAAAATTTTTCATTTCCAACGTTGTTTTACTTTCTCAAAGACGTGCTCTTAAAGCTTTGAGGTTGTCAGACGTAATTTATTAAATCGTCGACGTTTCGCGGTCTTTTTAGATGCATAGCATGTGCGTAGCACAGTGGATATCGAGTTTTGCGAAAAGCAGCAAAGCCTTCTGTTCAAGAAAAACTGCAGAAAGATAAGGATCGATCTCTGTAATTCCAATAACTCACTGTTCAGAAAATACCCGAGAAGAAAGCGAGCGCCTTGGAAGGTTTTACTGTACTTCAATGGATTAAATTTTCCATTGACGATGAACTCTCTTCTTAGTCTAACTTGCTCTCTATAGAGAGCTTAAGCAAACCACGACTGCAATGGCAACGAGAACGCCATTAAATAAAAGGTTTAATGAGGTAGAACAATGACTGTGCACGTGCGTTATAAATCTTTATACATTTCTTAGCCGTCCTCTACAAAACAACAACGTAAAATGACTGAATTCTGCGTGTTTTCGCCGTCGCGAACGACGGCAGCTAATTTTGCGATTATACGCTGGCATTACATACATAGCTTGAGCAAGTCCTGAGGCCAGTCGGCGCACTGGAAAGATCTAGACAATTGCGAACTTCGAAGGTAGAATATAAATACAATTTGTACTAAGCGTTGTCCTCGGGGTCGCCCTCGTCATTGCTTAAGCTCAATTTATTTCCGAACGTTCGAAACACATACTTGTGTTTCAACCATTGCGTGTCTATGCAATGCAATGACTAGTAAATTTCTCACAGTGCAGTCTATATAGGTTCAAAAAACACTCGTAAGGAAGGAGAGTTTGTAGAAAAGTATTTTTAAACTGCACTGCGATAGCTTTTATAAATTGACCAACCTCCCTCTGTTTTCTCTCAAAATTAGGACAACTACAACTTTGAGTGGCTGAACTGAAATGGCGAAGGGGATAACAAAGTGCTCAATGAATAAATCAGCCACATGTTCATTGAAGCAAGTTTAATTCTAATGTAGGCAAACAAACTTAAGTGAAGTAACTAGTCTTACATTTGTAATGTTCATTCAACATACATATCTAAACCAAATCAAGTTTGGTGGTGCTTAACTTATCTTTTCAAAATTTTAAATGTTCATTGGAACAATTTTAATTCTAACGTCTCCAAACAAACCTTAGTGTAGTACTTCATTTCCCCAACATTTGTAATGTTCATTCCAACAATTAACTTATCTAAACCAAATCAAGTTTAGTATAGTTTAAGTATAGTACTTAGTTTGCCTGAGATTTGTAATCTTCTACTGGTCAACAGTTAACATAATTATCTAAACCAATCCAAGTGTGGTATGCAATCTCTCTAAAAACCTATAATTGTTCATTGAAGGAATTAAAGTCTACGAGAACGAAACAGCCGAGAAGTACTTAGTTTCTCTAAGATTTCTATTGTTCTTTCCAACAATTAACTTATCATTCTATTAACACCAACTCCAGTGCTGTGCTTAATATCTCGAAGATTTTAACGTTCATTCAAGGAATTTCAAATGTACTTATTACGAACAGACCTTAGTATCGCTGTCAAGATGTTTTAACAGTGATATACAGTGAGACTAATTCCTTTCAAGGGTTTAGGTCAGTAGTTTTAAGTTTGCCCATTCATTGGCTAGTTCATGGTCACATGACATCTAACAATGAAACTCTTTACCGCCAAATGCCATGAGCGGGCAATATTGCGAAAACTATGATATTTCGCAATATTGCGAAAAAACTATGTCAAACGAAAAACAGTTCACTGTTACCGGCGAAATGTTGACCGCTGTTGCACGTGATCAGAACGTGCAGTTGAAGGTGGCCTGATGTTGTCGCTGGAATCTCAGCGCGTTGTCGCTGGAATCTCAATGTTTCCCTCGATCTCGTCTCGGGAAACATTGAGATTCTCAGGAAACAAAATTTGCTGTTCCACTCGGACCAGTCATTAAGTGTTAACTATTTAATATGAGACTTACTACTGACCTAACTTTCAATTAGACATTCAAAGAAAAGCGAAAGAAGCGCACAGTAGCCTACAATTACCACAGCAACTAAATAACCAACTCTACAAAATTACTAACCCTGCAAAAATCGCTTTCTTTAGTGACCAATATCGCTGTTTGGACACAGCTAAGTCAAGTTGGGCAAAAACAAGTATTATTTGTGATTTACTTTGCTTTCAGGCTTAAAGGAGCTCAGTCACGGTGTTTTNATTAAGGAACAAGGATGGCTAAGGATGGAGAAGATTAACACGGATTACATACGACGAATTTGAAAAATTGAGGCTAAACTTTTCAATATGCGCAAACCGTGACTGAGCTCCTTCAATCATAAGCTGAACACCTGATGTACAGTATAACGCCCCGCTCACACTACGACGTGGAAATTTGAAAATGCAGCTTTGATTCTACGGCTAGGTCTACCGTGTACACTAATCCGTCATGAAAACAGAGCTTTACGAAAACGCTATTCAAACCCGAGGAATTTGAAAACGCGGCTTTGCGTTTTAGTGTCGACGCAAAACATTTTGAAAACGGAGCTTTTCGAAAACGATGGGGTCACGATGGTTGTGGGATTTCCCTGACCGAGTTCTCCTCAAACACAAATCCAAAATCCATCCATTTGATGCGTTTTCAGATTGAAACCTCCATTTTCAAATTCCTCCGGCGCAATGTGGACGGAAAACATTTGCCGGATGCGTTTTCAGAGTGAAACCTCCGTTTTCAAATTCCTCTGGCGCAGTGTGGACTGTTCATATCTAAACTGGAATCGACACGGTCATGTCCATGTACAATCCGGTTGCGTTTCGAAGTCATTAATACCCTACATGTCAATTTGTTTGACAATTACATAAATGAACGTTTTCAAAACATTTTAAGGCTCACTAGAATTCAAGTAAAAGTTAAAGTCGTTCAGCCTCGGGCCGGAAAACAGGAAAAAAAAACAGGAACTTTTTTGAAAAGTGCTTTACCTCAGTTTGTGCTCTTAGAATTTGTCTGCATCAAAATCATCTGCTTCTTTGATGCCAGCTTTCACGTTTTCTTCAATTTCTTTTATTCTTACTGGATCTGCAGGGGGAAGCACTTTCAGCAACTCCGTTTCAATCTGCTTGATTCTCTTCGTCACTTTCTCGTGGAAGTGGTTCTTGGCTTCGAACACCTTTGCTTCTATAGCTCTTTGAGCGTCTTGGCTGCCTTCCATGAGCTCTCTCTTCTTCAGCTTAATTGTACGTCCGTCCTTCTCTGGATCCAAGGCGATCAGTTGGCCAAGACTGGCCAGACGGCTCATCAGGTGATTTCGGGATATTTCCACGTAGGTGTCTGATATGGACCACACCACATAAGACGTGGTGTTTGCTTGACTCACTTGCTCATAGATGAGGTCACGCATGAAATCCACACTAGCATAGCCGTTTTCCAGGGCTCGCTTTTGGCCCACTTTGGCGTATTCAACAAAGCTTGATAGGCTTTCGTTTTGACACACCTTGATAATATTGGTGACGTATTGGAAGAACTCTACCAGTTTCTGCCACTGTTCCCGCACCGAGGCCAGGGCCTTGATACCATCCCTCAGGGTATTTCTTATTTGGTCGAAGTCGGCAAGCTTCTCTGGGCTCAATTCGGCAAGGCTTTCTAACACTTTACTTAATTCTTCATTGCTTTCCTTTAGCTGCTGACATGTTTGATCGTAGCGGTCCTCTTGCCTTTCCAAAAGACTCCTTGTTTCGGCCATTTTAACCTGTGCACCTTCCACTGCTGACTTGGCTGCACTTGGGCGGGCAGAATTTGCAGAGCTGGCCATGGATTTTGCTTGCCGTGGAGGTTTCGTAGTGTACGGATTCGCGTCTGTCTTTGCGCGTCTTTTAGTGCAAAACTTCATGACCTTATCTTTCAGATTAGCTGCTTGCTTAGCAATTCCGATGAGTTTATCGGGTGTGAAGCTCAGTTGCGACGCTATTTTTTCTCCTTCCCGGCTGATCTCAAAACCTTGCTTCAATAGCTCTTGAACTTCTGGGTGACTAGAATCTGCATCCTTCCCAGCTAGGTCCTTCTGTAAGGTCTCCATAACTATCTTCATCGTTTGAAGCTTTTTATCCAAGGGTTCTTCTTTCTTAGAGCCAGTATCGCCTTTAACTTTCTCTGAAGCAGAAGTAAGATCTTCCGACAACTGAGTAGTGTAAAGCTTCAACTGCTCTGCAGCTCCAACTGGCACAGATTGATCTTCTGTCGGCGACTGCTCAGCACCAGTTTCCCTTCCCCGATCTGCTCTTGGTGCAGAATTTCCGGGACCGTCAAAAATACCATGTACGATTGTTTCAACAACCTCCATACCAAGAAGATCCCATCCGCTTGGCATAGAGTCTACAGCCTTCTCAAAGCTTCGTTTCGCCTCTCGTACTCCTTTCTCTAGCTTTTCTTGTTGTTCTTTTGCCAATTTTACTTTCTTGCGGGCGTCTTTTTCTTTATCCAGGGCAATCTTTCTCTTCGTTGCTATTTCTTCTCGGGTTTTCTGATAATATCCCCTAGCAGCCGAAGAAACTTCAAGTAGCTCACCCGTCAGATCCATTACGTGTTCAAACTTCGCCTCAACTGATTGTGCCAAGCGCAGGCATTCTCCAGAATTCCTCTCAATCTTTCCGAGTTCTATTGGGAGAAAATCTCTGACGTCCTCATCGCTTCCCTGGACGAGGGTACGGACAATTTTCTTCACTTGATTAGGAACTTGAGCAGAGTAGAGCCTGATTGCGTCCATGTTCTTGGAAAGTAAACAGAATTGAATTTAACTACAATGCCTTGTGGCATGTCTTTGTTGTTTGCTCAAGTTTCAATCCACAAAGATATAGATGAAGGGGCAAAACATCGTTTTTTACATCGAAGCTCTAAATGTCCATTCATTTATCATTGAATTACTTATTTAGTATTTAATTATTCATTATTGTTTGTCTAAAGTATGAATCAATTAACCTTTCAAGATGTAAATGAAACGCCACCAAGCGTTTATTGTTTTTTCTTTCCAGAGGTATGTGAATATAGAAATGTCGAAAAACTATTCCATGCGCCCCTGTAGAAATATCTTTGGAATACAATACACATAAAAATCCATCATGATATAATTGCTACCACTATTTTAAAAGTAAAATAGCCCACGAGGAAGACCACTTAGGTAAAAAAAGCTTGTTCGCTGGACAAAAGAAAATGTTTCTTCCCATCAAAATATCATACTGAGGCCGCTTTCACTTCCTGGCGTATCGTTTGTGCCAGCATACTGCTGTTTTTGGAAAGGCAACTACCATAAAATACTGCTGAATAATGCCCTAGGCTAAAACAAGTTCGTAGGGGGTTTTGTTTGGGTCTATAATAGGGAGAACTAATATAGGAGTAGGGAAAAAATGAGCTGACAAGAACATGAGAAAAAGAAAAGGAAACAATTTTTTAACAAATTTAATGAATTTAATAAAAAACGGACTTACATGTTTGCGGTGTGGAAGTAGGAGGAGGGCATTAGGTAATTAATCTCGTTTTTAAGGGTCAGAAAAGATCTGGTGACCCTGACGTTAGACGAAGGTTATTCCCCAAATGTGCCCCACTGTAGCAGAAACTAAGTTTTAAAAAAATCGGTACGGGGCTTGAGCAGACCTAATTTGTTTTCAATATTTCTAAGTCATCTAAGCGTATGATGGACTACGATAGTGATGAGGTTTCTGCATGGAAAATAGCTAGTCTGTGATAGGGTTGGGTTTTCTGTGCCTAGTCTAGAATAGGGTTACAAAATCAAGCTGACCATGGTCTAGAAGAGCGTAAGATTTTCAGTGTCCTTGTTGCACACCCCCACCCAAAGATTTACAGAGTACCCCCTCTCCCCTTCGGGTATAATTCATTGTTCTCACCTTGTGGGCTTCATTGAAAGCTCTCCACCCAGTGTTGCTTACTTGCACCAAGCATGCTCGAAATGACTCTGGATGCTCAATATGTTGGAAACCTTTTTCAGGCCTTTGATTTTCCAGCGAGAAGTCCTTTTCGCCGGCAATGATCATGAGTTGTCCCAGAAGTGCGATGGTCATGGGTGCTGGAGTCAGGAACTCCGCCCAGTTGACACTGGGAGACATCATTAGGACAGCCATCTCATTCTTGTCGCTCCCTGAGTTGGAGTTTATCAATGCTTTGTTCAGATTTGCTACCACGTTGGCGTTCGGCTCAGACATGATTGCTCTCTGAAAACAAAGAATAGACCTGTTTAGTAGAGTCCCATTCATGTTTCATCTCGCTAGCTTGGGCCATCTGTGATTACGGAAATTCTTTCTGAACAAGTTTAGCAATTACCATATGCGAGCGATTGAACGTGAAGGTGACTACCTTGACTGCCATACAGCAAGACATTATGGAGTGTAAATGAATGTAAAGCCGGATTTCCATTGTTATGTCAAATTATTTATCGCTTGTTAACGGGCGTGCTTTTAATGGCTTAAAGGACCTTAAAGCAAATTTACATATATGGGTAGCTTGCGTCCGGGGAAAAAGGAACGTTGTTCTGGCAGTTCAACTTTTTCGCAGACACAAAGGTTCCATACTTTTGCCGCTCTCGTTTATTTTACGCGCGTTATCCTTTAAAATTCAATAGTTTGCTTAAAGCGCGGAGAGCGGCTCGTTTTCATCGTGACTTGTCTCATCACCTCTCAAGTGCTTTCTTTTCTAGTGCACTTTTATTGAAAATTGTATATACGATTTCTTAGAAAGTACAAGTTCTATGAGTAGATAGTAAAATAATATATCCACGTGAGGACACAAAAGGTGCTTAAATTATTCCTATCGAGGTTTCTGGCTCTTAACAAATTATGAAAGAGCAACTGAATCACGGCGGGGGGTACTCTCAGAAAAATTGGGTGGGCGTGTGCGACCCGCTTCCCAAAAGACTTACCCTATTTATGACCAAAATCTGTGATTTTCCCCTACCCTATTTATGACCTGAACAAAAATTCAGCACCCCTTTAATGACCGTTGCGACTGGCACAGTTGCCCTAAACAGAATTTATGGGCTTTTGTTGACGGTCTTGTCGATAATGATGAAAAAGTAGCTCCTTCTAAAAAACATACCCAATTCAAGACTAGAGTGAAAAAAACATACCCTTTTGAGACCAAAATGACCAAAATCGATACCCTATTTATGACCAAAACGGCTGAAAAACCATACCTATACAACCCATGTAAGGGAGTACCCCCCTCCCCCACCTCCTAGGGAACTGAACAGTGGCACAAGGTTCAATCTTAATGAATATCTGACAAAGGACGTTACAGAGACCTCTATACACTCTTTTTTATATATAAGAATGTATCTTTATAAGAATATCGGGGCTGAAAATCGGGAAATTTTAAGAATATTTTAAATTTTAAGGAATAAACCCAAGGCTGAGATTTTGAAAAGAATATAATTTGTCTGTGAAAATTTGTAATTACATTATAATTATGTTTTTAATTAAGCCGTATAAAATTTTTCCTTTCTCTAAACGGCAAAGCAGCAAAAACAACTCTAGCCGTATGCTCGATGTTAATAACATTTCTGCAAGAAGTTATGTACGTACGCCCTATTAGGCTGGCTCGAAAATTACTTTAACACCATCCAGACACCAAATACATTCTAAAACAGAAATGTCATACGTTGTAACCTAAGAATATTCACAAGAATATTTTCAGCCAAAAACCGGAAGAAAAATAAGAACATTCAGCCTCGGCCGGAAAAAAACAATACAGTCGACCCTCCCGTAAGCGGCCACCCAAAATGTCAAGCTTACGTGGTCGCTTACGGGGGTGGTCGCTTCCGAGAGCTTAGACCATATTGGGTCACAATTCTGCCACATTAGCATATGGTAACTGCAGAGACTTACCCCTTGTTTTCAATGTTTTATTCGTGTGAAAAGTCAATTTTGAGAAAAAATCTGGTACTTCCCATTGAGAAATCTCCGTCTCTTGTACTACCCAGGAATGCGATGTTACAACACCTTTTATTATCCAACTCCTACTCTATTATCAGTATCTCAGTGTCAATTGCACGCTTACGGGAGGTTGAAAACAAAAGAAAAATTTCACACTTTTAGCTCTAAACGCGGTCGCGGTCGCGGTCGCTTACGAGATGGTCGCTTATAAGAGGTTTCAAATATAGTGATTTGATTTGGAAACTTTTGGTATTTTGACGGAAAAACTGGTCGCCGAGGAGAGGTGGTCGCTTACGAGAGGTGGTGGCAACCGGAGGTTCGACTGTATTCTTTAATATCAAAAAAAGTGCAGAAGGTCAGGTGAAGCAAAATTCGAAAAGTACAAAGTTTCATTTGAATAAAATGTGAAAAAGAACAAGAAACTCTGACTACGTTGTAAGGTATAATACTACTGTTAGCTTCTAGAAAAGGTTTTAAAATCATAAAATGTGGTTTAACATAGAATGCGTGAAAAATGGTAATTCCACACGTCACGCCGGATGTTAATTCAAAATAAACTAAACGCAGTTTAGTTTTGCCCACGACGAAAACAAAAAGCAAACCTTATTTGTTTCTTTACGTCTGCATCTTTCGAGGAAACGATTAAATAACCTTTCATCTGGATGTGGCGACAGATTTGTAAAAAGAGATATTTGTTTATACGAATCGCGCATGCAAATGAGTGTTCCTATTCTTCTAGGAAATCTTTGATTGGAGATCAGTTGAATAATATCACTTTGATTTTCGTGAATTCATTTCATGTTTTTACCCAAGTAAAACAAGAGAAAATTTTAGCCGCGAATTCATAGAAACAAGCAAACAAACAAACAAAAAAAAGAGCAACGTATACTTGAATCTTTCAACTACCGTCCATTGACAGAAACTCGCCTTGTTTCATGAAATATTTAACAAATACTGTAACGCTTTCTTGGAATTTTGGCTCCGGTCTAATCTTCTTTATCTTGAAAGGAGTCTTTTAATCAACGATTCACCGTATACAAACCGAGCTAAACCGAATATTAAACCTCCTTTGATTTCCTTTCACAATCTTGTCCTATACACTTTGGTGACATTTATAGACATTGAATGAGTGTCAACTCGTTCGCGCTTATCTTACATGTCAGAAAGAATAGAAGCTACCCACCACCTATCTCGTGTTCAAACCAAGTTTGTTGTATTGACTGTTCTTCTTTGCTGCACCTTGAGGAGAAATGGGTACATCAGAAAACAGTGCGTCGTTCGCGAAACATAAGAAATACTGCCCTGGAGGAGAAATAAACACAACTGACCTCGATGGAACGACCAAACGTCTGACCCACTTTCGACAGCTGGATATATAGTGAAGAGAAGGTTAAAGGGGGTTGCACCAATTTCAAGAACAGCTACGTCTTTCGCCATATGATAGGCATGCGTGGCAGGTTGTTAAACAGAAAGTTCAAGAGGGCTTTTCCCTGTTTCTCAGAATAATTACTCCTCTCACCTTATGAGTACGACTTGATAATGTTCAGGGCTAGTAAACTGGTGGTCAATACTGAGGTGATTCAATAATTCGCAGAAACGAACAGCGATCTCTAAGGCAAAACGCAAAAAAACAAAAAAACAAAAAAAAAACCTGTCATAAATCGAAAATGAAAATCCCAGGCTTAGATCCACTTCGAAATTTAATGCCATTCTTATCCTTCCAAGAACAACTGTAATGTAGGGATTATGCGATTAAACCAAACGACAATCGACAGATAGAAAATAATTTTGAAACAAACGGTGTGCTATAATTGTAAGTTACCTACCTCGTGTTAAATCCAAATTTGTCCAATGCGCTTTTTTATCACACTAAACTTACCGGAGAAATGGACTGGGAGTTGCCAGACAAAGTTGGTGCACCGCTCAAGAATTCTGGTTTTCAGTTGAAGACAACGGTTCACAGAAGCGATCTCAGTGGAGCACTGATACAGCATCCAGTTGCGACAGCTTTATAAAGCAGAAAACAGGAAGTTAAGAGGGGGATCCCGCTTAATCCAAGAACAATACATACGCGTATGTAGGGTAGACGTGGATTTCAAGGGCAATTGAAACTGAAATTCAAGCCCGGGTAAAGCCCCTGGACTGACGACTCTGTCAGTCAATGAAACTGAAATTGCCAGGGTCGGGGTATTTTCCCTTTTCTTGAATTTCAATACAATTTTTCTCTTTTGAAGAACAACAGACTCTGCTGTCTCAGAAACCGCATACCTTTCATGAGTTTCCATTATTATTTTTCCCAAACAACGTACTGATATTGACTGAGTGACATTGAATCACAATGCTATACACCCAACTGGCGCCAAAACCAAATTTGTCAAATAAGCTTTTTTGCTTTTTATTATTTACGGGAGAAATGGTATTGCCAAACAAGGCTGAGTCATTCATCAAAATGCCGTCTTTCCGAAATTCTCAATGCCTGGAGCGTAAAACACCAAGGCTGCAAAGTAAACAGGAACTTCGATAATTCCTAGAATATTGCTGCTTTCAATATTCATTCACCCTTGGTGAAAGGGGCAACTGTTCCAGGCATAAAGCTAACCCCCTCTAAACTTTCAGTTTCTTACTTGAGCAGGCACTCTAGGATCTATGGTCGTTCGCATGTGAGGTCGATTTGTAGGGAATTACCCAGTCTTCTAGCCATGCATTTCTCCCGCAAGGTATTAGAAAACAGCGTGGTCATTGCAAACAAGATATCACTTTGGTTTTAATTTCAACACGAAGTAGGTAGGCCGCTTATATCAGTTCTATCTCTTATGCACGGAAGAACAAAGTATTGTTGACTCAATTTGCTTTGAGCTGTACGTAGGTCGTATGGAAATATAAATCTTAAAATCACAAAAACAACGAAAGATATTCGGTTACATGTAATAAATCCGTACAGCAAGGTCTTTTTCAGACTAGTTCAAGTTGAGAAATAGACCGGGGTTTTTGCCCTTGACATCCCCGGGTCGTATGCATACGGTAAGAGGAGGAATTATTCTGAGAAACAGGAAAACCCCCTCTCCAACTTCCTGTTTATCAAACTGCCACGGATGCCTATGGCGAAAGACAAACTATTCTTGGAATGAAAGAAATGCGATAAAAACGTCCTTACTCTAGCAATCTTAACTGAGTGATATTGGTCGTTCCATTTAGGTTGGTACTGCTCATTTCACTGAATTCCTTAGGGACAGCATTCATATTTTTGTGTTTTCTAACATCTCCATTTCTCTCTTAAAGGGTTTTGACAAAGAACATTCAACAAGCTTGATTGTAACACAAGATAGGTGGGTAGTTTATTTTTTATCCATTCACGAACGTGTATTGCCGATTCAAGGCCTTTGAAGGTCACCTTAATTTATAGCGGATACAATGGTTAGTGTGACTGAATGAAAGGACCGTATTCTTTATTCAAGATGATTGAGCAGGGGCATACCGTAAATGCGTTTAACATCATGGCCGCTTCATTTTCGGCGAGTAAAGAGGCAGTAGCCTGAATTTTGAGATTTTTTGTCGTAGAGATCCCTTGCTCATACGCCTATCCTGAAAGTGACAGCTTTACAGAGCTGACATACGAATACTGTCGAGGGTTTGCTTTAAAATCCCGGAAGCATGGGTTTACAGGGCTCCAGTCACGTTACTTAATTAAAGTTCTGTTGAAGCTGCTTTCCGTAAGTCAGGACATCGGGCCGGAGTTTCAATGCATTTGGGGAAGGAAGTTCAGGTGGACTTTGCCGGGCATTCTACGCGGTTTTTTTTCGAAATGAAAATGGATT